GGCTTGCCAACTACATCAGCCAGTTCCCTCAGGACTCTGGGATGCATCTCGTCAGGTCCCATAGACTTAGTATATTCAGGTTCCTCAGGTGGTCTTGAACCTAATCTTCTGTTACAGTGGGAGGGACTTTGCTCCCCCAGTCCCTGCCTTGAGGTTCATCCACTCCAAAGGGGTGGGAAGAGAGATTGCTATGAAGTGTGAGCAAAAAAGTTGTTGAGTACCTCAGCCTTCTCCTCATCCGTTGTTGCCAGTTTGCCAGTCGTGGTCATTGGGAGGGTACTTTCTTTGACCTTCCTTTTCTGGCTGACATACCTATAGAAGCCCTTTTTCTTATTCTTTACGTTCCTTGCCAAGTTTGGCTCCAGCTGTACCTTGGCCTTCCTGACCCCATCCCTATACAACCAGGCAGCATTCGTATACTCTTCCAAGGATACCTGTCACTGCTTCCACTGTCAGGTTCTGCTTTCGTTGACTTGGTAGGACGGGGGTTTGGCTTCACTTTTACAAATGAATCTGGTCTACTGCTTCAGCATTCCACTGGAACAGACTGCTGTGCAAGATCTGTGCTTAGTATGCAAAGCTGCAAGGCTTGGTCTAACCATAACCTCTGCCAGCAACACCACTGTCATCCTAAGTGTGTAAATACAATGAAGAATGCAAACTTATCACGCTTCATTTGCTGCTGCATAATTTTTTTTGTATTCACAGGTGTGTGTTTAATTATACTGTCATCTTGTCTGAGAGGTAGATGGCACTATAGTTAGAGAAATTCTTTCATTTTATGTGGTAAGAACGAGTGCATTAATACCAAGATGAAATGAACTGCTGCTGTTTAAGAAAAAGCTATTCCCCCCTGCCCTTTTTTTGTACATTTTTGAGTTGTAACTTCAAGTGAGTCGCGATATCATGTAGTAGTGTATATTATGAGTATGTTTCTCGGGAGGGGGAAGTGTAAATAGTTTACTTTGCATGAGGTATGGATGATTTTGCATATGCATATGGAAACAGTTCCAAAAGCATGCAGCTTTATAATCAACAACTGCTTTAGCAACTTCTACCAGGACATTTTACAAATACTGGAGGTGTGTGCACATGTAATCCTTTTTTCCTGGTGGAAGTTTAACTGTAGTGTACTCTGTGAAAGTTAGAATTAAAATAGCACCTCGATATCCACTTTTTCAAAGTTTTCTGTTCTTTTAAAAGGTATCCAACTTTGGAATAATTTTTTTTGTGTTGGGTTCATTGCCACCGTACGCTTTACTTCTCTATGTGGCCATGGTTAAAGCAAATAGGCTTAGTATCTTCACGGCATACAGCTCCTGTAATACCATCTGTGCAAGCTGAATGGTGCAAGCAATATAATGTTGACCTGTTGGAAATTGCTGCTCTAGTAAATTCGGGAGTGGGATTGTGTGTTGTATGCTTTATTAGGAAGACTCTGTCTAGGTACAGATGCCTTAATTCTGGTGCATCATTTCCCTGTATCAAGAACATTAATGAAAGATATTTGAAACGGTATTCTGCATGATAGACACCATGCTTACATGATGTAAAAAATGAATGTTGTGTAAATTTCAGTAAGGTGCATTTCTGTGACTGTATAAAAACAAACTTTTTTTTTTTCATTATGCTTCCATTATTTCTTTTTAATTCTGCATGTCCTTGTTATCAGTCTGTAGAAGCTGCCTAGTGAAATATTTGGAGGAAAACAACACCTGTCCAACCTGTAGAATTGTTATACATCAGAGCCACCCATTACAGTATATTGGGTAAGTATGAAAACAAAAGTGCAACTAGGTTCACTCTAGCCTCTTTAATACAGCACAGCTTTTTCCAAAATTTTCTTATTAGCTTATCAGTATGTTAAACATTTAAAAGGAAGGTTGAAGGTGATTGAGGAGATACGGGATCAAACTTTGCTATGAAATTGCAACTCTGACATCTGTTAGCTTCTTCCAGACTTAAAAGCAAGCGAAGTATGCACTGTACTGTTTAATTTCTGTGTGAATTTTAACGGAATTTAGTCATTCCTCATTTTGTATGCTTGGGTCATAAAAGTTACATAAATGAAACATTTGTAGAAATTATACTTTTACAAAATCATAAAAATAATTAGTCTCAGTTGAACAGTGCTTTTCAGTGTCTGATAGAGTAATGAGAGAAATAATTGTTAGCCTTATTGTTCAGTTAATCTTTCAAAGGTTTAGTTCATAGGGAAAGGTAAGAATATGGCAGCAAAAATATTAGACCAATGGCTTTAGTTTCTAGAATGGAACAATCTTGTCCTTCATTCTATTTTGATCTCTACACAGAGTGCTCTCACTTTCTGGCCTAATGTGAATGTGGTATTGTTCATCGGTTTCCTTTTTTTTTACTAAATATTTTTCAGGTGTTTTTCTTTTGTTTTCAGAAAATACATTCCCTTTCTTTTCCTTCACTGCTTTCCTTTCATTTTACTGAACTGCAGTAACTTTTGCTGGTGAAGATCCATTGTGACAGTGTGTTTGCAATAGCTGTTGCATATCAAGTAGTGTTTTGCGTACCCTTATAAAGAGTTTGGTTTAGTTTGTGACAGTTTTCAGTGTGCCTTTCTCAGTTCTCTAACAACTTCTGAAATAATGCTTATAAAAAATTAGTCTGATTTCTTTTCAATTTTACAGAAAATTCTTGATGTTCTCTACACACTTACATTGCTCAAGCTGATCCTGATTCAGGAGCCTGAAACTAGTTATGCCATTTCTGCATTTGAAGAATAATAGTGTACACTGATAATACGTTATATGATACACTGATAATATCCTATATAAGTGTATGCTTTGGAGGTACAAGTAGATGCCAATAGGCAAGAACGAATAAATGACACAGCAGCATGTTTGTCTTCTGTAAAGCTACAGGAATACAGCGGTGCCTTGGTTCAGAAGCTTGTTTTCAGTGCTAAAAGGGGCAAGGAAACATTATCAAATTGAGAACAGCTAGAAAGAAATGCGCAACTTGTTTTTGGTCGTTGAATACACTTTCAAGGAAGTATTTTGCCTGAACTAGTTATAAAATACTGCCCCTTCAAGACTGAAACAGCCTTTGCCCAGCCTACTTTTGGATATATGTATATTTTAATGAAGAATTGGCAGTCAGGAGTTTCACAATATGTCTTAGAAAGTAGATTTGCACTCCTATTCATCTCCCATTATCTGGAAAATAGGAAAACCAAATGTGTCTCCTATTTCACATTCTGAATGCTGTTAAATTCTCACCTCTGATCTAATAGTGATGACTGATTTACTCATTTATGTTGAAATATTTTTGGAGATGTTCTTGCAATCTGTGTGTGATACTTGAAAATGCCAGCCTGTGCAAATGGGATTGCTGCTGGTTGAAATGACATGAATTTTAGAATTAATGATACTTTGATTCTTCTTGTAGTGCTACTTAAAAGATTGTAATGGTTAATTGTAAATCTCTTCATTTGTCACCATTTCTGTATTTGTTCACTGGTCTCCACTGCTATGAAGTGCTTATGTCAGGTGGTGAGAAGCCTGAGACCACTCTTGTAAGCCTCTTCTCCTATTTAAGTCAGATGTAGGATTTGGTATTGCAAACTCTATTGGGGTGATGACCTTGCAGCAGCCGAGGCAGACATTTGAAATGTTTGATTCTATTTATCCATTGGAATTTAGGGTAATATTTTGTTTATTTCAGACAGTGACTTATTTGAGACTAAAATAGAATTTTGTCTAGGTCAGCTGGGAATTAAAGTTTAGAATCTTAACCAGTCCTGCTGCGTTCCAGTTCCAGTGGGATTATTACCTTTCTGTTATTTGAGCCACACTACCTATACGGGCTTCTGAGCTACATAATGTTGCTCACAGTTAAAATGTTGGCCTTTAAGAGCAAAGTAAAATTTTATTGTTGTGGTCGTTTTCTGTGAGCTGTTTTCTTGCGTGCTTGGAAAAGCCTAGTGAAGATAACTTATCTAGAAATGTGAGAGATGAGTGTGTAGGGGTAAGAAACAGACTATCCTTGATTCTTTTGTAATAAAAGTGAGTTTACCTCAAAGTTGTCAAAGAATTTTGAAATTATTACTGACATACTTACCTTGATGCAGGAGGCTGTGTTCCATGGGGCGTCATCCTTCACGTGTCCAAGACTATTCTTCCTTAAATTTCCATTGGGTTTCTGTCTTAGCCTGTACTTTTTCATATTTTTTTTCATATTACTGTCCTCTCTTGTTTGATAAAAATACTGATTTGAGAATTTAAATTTTTCTTAGGTGATTTTAAAGATTTTACATCAATTTAGTACTGGAACTTCTTTAAGATAAATGTTTTGAATGAAGATGGTTGACTTAAACTTTTGATTTTGTTTTTTTCTTGCTAGTCATGACAGAACAATGCAAGATATTGTTTACAAACTTGTGCCAGGCCTCCAAGAAGGTAGGTTGTGGTATGACCTTTTTTAGAGGTTGTTTTGCACATACTTTTAACACCTAAAAAAAAAAAAAAAGTTTCAGGTGATGAAAATGCAGGGGGGGAACTGAGGAAGAATACAATGGAAAACCGTATTCCTTCATTTGTGTCGTTTGTAGTGATTAATTTAATTTCATACCTGTACTAGCAGGAATTGGGGGGAGGTGGAAGTGGGAGGAAAGATGGGATATTTCTTTGAAAAGTGGTGTTATGTAAAGCACAATGGGAGTTCAGCTTTTGAATGTTGCCATACTGTGACTCTCATTTGTTCTTGTTAAACTGTGTACTTAAACCTGTTGTGCCAGCTGTCTAGAATCCTCAGAGGTAGAATGTAATGCAGAACAGCTTTTAGTTTCAGTGAAGTTTCTGCTACTCTGTGAGTCCTTTCTTAGCTGGTAACTTTCAATTTGTGTTTTCACTGCTCAGTGATTTTTTTGTCTTAGTGTCTGTGACAACTTTTATTTAAATAGAGTATTTTAATCCATTTAAGCTGCAAAACCAGAACATTCTCAAACATCAATAAGATTAAACAGGTTATTTAAAAATTATTTCTAGCATATAGAAAATCAGAACTATAAATAAAAATTCAAAAACAATGGTTTGACTGAAATATTGTGGAAGGGATTCAAAAGAAGATACAGTGTTTTAAATACTATCTCATTCTAATAGGAATGCTATAATAGTAGCTCTACAGATGACTTTGTAGTATTCTAACTCTGAAAAATACAGGCATGACGTGATACAATACCAAAGATAGAAGAGTAGTAAATACTGACAATGCCACTACTTGTTGGCAAGCCTGTTTCACTTAAGAGGGAAGGGATTTGGAATAACTTCATAAATATTGCATGAGGACTTTATTACAGGGATTAATATTTACAATTTTAAACAGCGGAAATGAAAAAGCAAAGGGAGTTTTATCACAAACTGGGCATGGAAGTTCCAGGGGACATCAAAGGGGAGACATGTTCTACAAAACAGCACCTAGATTCCCATCGAAATGGTAAATGGTCCTTTATTTATTCTGTCTTGGGTGGGTGATGGCTAGTAAATTAATGAACAGACCTGTTGGAGGTATGTGCCTAGTTGGTTTAGTACAATCATATACGGTGAGTATAGGATTGTTACTTTGTCCCTTATTTGTGCACAGAATCTTCCCCCCCCCGGTCATAGCATATTAGTCTTGGTGAAGGAGATCTCCATAGTAGTGCCTACATGGGCACTCTCTGAAATTACCCAGGTTCTGGGCTGCTAGCAGTTGAACTGAAGGTTGCGCTCTGTATGTATCCCTCTCTTTTATGCGTGGGGCTGTTGCCAGCTAGTGTTGCCAAAGCAGATAAGCACAATTTGGGAAAAGCAAAGTTTATTCTATATTGCAGTCCTGAGCTGTGCTGTTTTAATCATATTAGCATTACAAGCTGCTGGTGAACGTTATCCCATATGTCTGGTTTCTTATCTAAGGTGAAACTAAAACAGATGAAAATTCAAACAAAGAAACTTCTGAGGAAAAACAGGAAGAAGATAATGACTACCACCGCAGCGACGAACAGGTGAGCTCATAGGGCATGTTTTAGTTTTATCTTGTATTTTAGCTTTAGTGCTTTGGTAAGCTACCAGAGAAGAAAAATAACTGTTTCAAGCTACTTTTTCTGTCCTGTGATACAAACAAGATGCAGTGTTGCCCAATGCTTATGTGTAAGCATGAGTTTCATCTTTGGGTTTTGGCAGGAACAGAGAATATGTCAAACACATTTGCATTAAGATCTGATAGTTCTGTTTGTTTGTGAGTTTCCAAAGTATCTATTTGCTTTCAAAATGATTCAGGTTATTTGGCTCCCGTTCTGAAGGACTGTATCCCAGTGTTATTGTGATAAGTTGAGCTGAACGTGTATCAATCATTATGAATAAAACCTTTTGCATTTTTACTAAGTTACTATTTATTTTGTTTTAAGCCTCTAATACTAAGACAGTGTTAGCCCTATACCATAAAAATAGTATGAAAGCTGGGAAGTTCACCATTAAGTTTTAAACACAAAGCATGTCTGAAAGTGAAATCTCCTTTTGGGATAAACAAGCCATCCTTTTTATGTTTTCCTGTTATGTGTGTCCAGAGTAAATTAAACGTGGGTTAATTTTCTTTTCAATTATAATGTAAGGGAACTTTCAAAGGGATTGTACCTAGTACTAGATCCTCTTAGTACATAAGGTAAATCATCACAAAGAGCTTTAGTCTAAGTAATTAATAGCTAGATGAGAAAAGAAGTGAAAATTGAAGCATAGAAATTAGAGACACCTTTTGGGGGGGATAATCTTTAGAATTTTAAAAAGTTATGTCGTTTATATCCATTCTTTTTAAACTTTAAATTCTCTTTTAAACATGTGTTAAAAGTCTGGTTTAAACTGGATTTAGCAGTTGCATTAAAAGCAAGAAGCTATGTTAGAAGCAATCATTAAAAATAAGCAATCATATACTTACTCTTTATCTTACTCTAGCTTTTGACATAGGGTCATCTTGAGCTATTGGCAGCTTATGAATTTGGACTTGAGCAGCCTTGTTCCAACATCAAAAATTCTTTCTTGAACTTTTTTGTCTAGATCCATTTTCGTTGCAGTAGTGCTGATAACTAAACTGACAAGATGTTAGAAAATGTTTTTTTTAATAGGAATACAGGCATTTCAGTTTAAGGAATACTAGTACTGTAGTTTTTCACTTTGTTGTATTAATAAAAACTGCATGTGGAATACATAATGAGGACTGCAGAAAATTCTTCCAGCCAACTCTGACTGTTTATTTTTTCCTGAAGGTAAGCATCTGTTTGGAATGCAATAGCAGCAAATTGCGTGGATTGAAACGAAAATGGATTCGCTGCTCAGCACAAGCAACAGTCTTGCATCTAAAGAAGTTCATTGCCAAAAAACTTAACCTTTCTTCTTTTAATGAGGTAATATTTTAATTTTTTAAAATTGTTTTGCAGATATAAAAACCTTAAGAAAAGTGTGGGATTGTTCCTTTGCAAAGGAATGTCTTTTAGTCTGATTTTCTTTTCAGAAAACAGAAGCATACACTGTTTCTTGAATTATATGTTACATAGCCATTTTCTTGTCCTTTCTTGGGTCTATACAGGACTTGCCACTTAGTTTGCAGTGCATCTTTTCAAGTCCATATATAAATAGTTGAGCTAAAAGGCTTGGTTATGTGCTTCCACATATGTTGAAATGGACTCTGGCAAGGTGCTTTGTTTGACAGCTTGTAGTCAGGTATACCCCACCCTTTCAGAGATTCAGTGCAGGGGACAGGCAGTTACAAACACTTTAACACTACTGAAGCCCAGCTTATGAGAAAGCAGCACAAATATTTTGTTCCTTTCTATGCTGTCAGTGAAGCTCAACCCAAAGTTGCTGCCTCCCACAAGCAGAGTGTTATCAGATACCTACTATTACCTTCCTTTGCAAGGAATACTTGGAATCATGGGAAGAATTTAGGGTGAAAGGTACAGAAAAAAAGGCAATTCTCTGCACTTCTCCTAGTTCAGCTTCAGAAATAACAGTGGCAAACATATGAATGGAGCCTCTGTTTACCACTTTGCTGGGTCTTGGTCACAGTCTCTAGACATCTCAATGGACTCTCAGCTTCCGTGTCCCAACCACACATTATGCCACTGATTCACTGAATTTCATTAAGACTTTTAATTCAAATCAAATCATCTGCTTTCCAGTCCAATGTGTCTTCCAGAAACCAAATTGTATCTTCTGTCTTGTCCTCAGCTGGCTTGGAAGTGGTTGACTCTGGCTGTAGCCCAGCAGCAACATAGCTACCATCACTGTTCAAAAGGGGATATTTTTTTGTGTGTGTTTAAGCCCTCCATTCCACTGTGCCAGTCTGTGATTTAACAACCTGCTTGGCTTTTAGTGAAGGAATAGACTTTCAGGATTACTTTTTATTCCTTTCCCATCCCTTCCTACCTTCTTAAAGACTACATAAATTGTGGTGTAATCACTGTACCAGTACCAAGTAATGGGTACATAGTAGGAGAATTTAAGCTTGTGGGCACTTGGTTGATTGCTATAGATTTTTGCAGGTTTGAGTTATTGCCGATTAGATAAACCATGTAAGTAGACTGCATGCACATTCAGGACTTCTTGGGTTGTGTGGCAAAGTGTTGCTAATATAAGCCACCTTGGTGGAACTTACTGTTTTCATGCATGTTCCCTGTTTTAGTTCATGTTCAGCTATTGTAGTTCAGCTGATTAGGAGTCATATTATCCTCATGTTTTTATATCCTCACTGTTTCTAATATCAAGAACTTTCAACAGTAAGATAGAAAAGTAAAAATGGCTATTGAGTATCTGCAAAAAACCCATAAATATAGTATATGAAGGAGGTGGCAGACATTTTTTAAAAAAACTGTACCCTTGTAACAGAAAGCCACCTGTTTATAAAATTAACAGTTCCAGTGTCTTCAAGAGAAAAAAAACTCTTGTCAAACATTTGTAGTATTATCTGAAATACATTGTTTCATGTTCTGTGTCTCAATGAATTAACTGTTGTCTTTGTTTTGTCAGCTGGACATATTATGCAATGAAGAGATTCTTGGCAAGGACCACACGCTCAAGTTTGTAGTTGTTACTAGATGGAGATTTAAGGTATGACACGTTGGTTTCAAGTAAATCATGAAGTGGCCAAATGTTTATAAAATAGGCATCATTTGGAACTATACTGCCGTAACTGCAAACTTGATAAAAAGATACTTTAATAAATATCTAATACAGCATCTTTAAACACCAAGTATTAGTTTTGTTTCCAAGAAAATGAAGGAAAGGGGAATTAAATATTAATTGCAAGGGAAAAAGGAACACTGCATCAACTGTCAAATTGGTACCAAGTCTGGCAAAGGAAGGGAAAGCCACAAGAAAGTATTATTTTTATCAATTTCAGGTAAAACTGGTTTTAACCCGTGTAGGTGGGGAAATTGATTGTGATGCAGAAAAAGCAGAAATTTTCAACACATTTCTGTAGCTCAAGAAGGCTGTTTGACTTATAAAGGAGAGTCAGTAATTGCAATGCTTGTCTGCCTTAGTTAAGGAAACTTCTAGCAGTGTTTAGGAGGCATAAACAGGGCTGATGAAAAATGTTTTGTGTACATCTTTGGCTTGCTTCTTGTGGTTTCTTTAAACAACTTCGTTAAAACTGAATACTGAACAGTGGGGCATTCATTCTGAATATTAATTATGACATTAATAATAGCAACTCAAGTGAAATGGGTTTAAGAATGAATTGCAAAATTGAATACTTTAGTTTGCAAGTCACATGTGCAGAGTCAGCGTATGTGTATTTGCGGATATTTGAACTAGGAGTTAGTGTTCCTAATGGACAAGCAACACAGTCTGAGCTTACAGTGTACACTGAGGTAGAACCACTTCACGGCTTTGGATGCATATCTAGAAGAGGTGCAGGTGGGAGTAGGGAAGCGTTTTTCTGTCTTTGTGTAGAAAAATAATGGACCTCCATAAAAGTCACAGGATAGAAGTCAACAGTCAGGATAGAAGTCAACAGAAATGCAGAGAGGTCACGAGTGGACTCTGTTTTGTGTGATGTTCCTGAATGACCTGGAAAGGGATTTGAGTAGTGCAGTAACAGTGTATGGACAACATTGTGGTTATTTCGGATAGTGAAGACAGACAGATGACAAAGGATTGAAGCAAGCCTTTACAGTTCTGAGTGACAGGTGATTAATGAGTACCTTAAGTTCAATGTAAGTAAATATAAAAGGATACAGAGCAAATGTTAGGGATTTTTATGGGGGAAATCAAAAAAGACAACCAAACGAACATCAAATTGATGTGCATCTGTAGAAGTCTACTATTCACTTTTATCATGGAAATCTATGCAATTGTGAGTCACATGGAAAATGGAACTGTAAACTCCCTTCTCAAGTGAAAGTGGTGGGGGATGTAAAATGAAACTGGGAGGTGGGAGGTCCAGAACAAAGAAGAGGAAGCGATTCTTTACGTGAGACACAGAGCTCCTTGGTGCAGGATGTTTTGGATGTTAGAAGTTTACCTATTCATAAAAAAATCAATGGATACATTCACAGAAGAGGAATCAAGAGAGCTGTTAAATATGAAGTACCACATGCTCTTATGCTGCTTTCTAGACAGCTGCATTTCTCCCTTACTGGTAATGGGTTTTCCAAGTTAAAAAGACCTGGTAGAACTGATCTTAAGGTGATCAGCTCCTGAGGCAAAAGGGAAGGGATTCTTCATCACTTGTTTGAGCTCCACAGATGAAATTGCGTCCTGTCTTTGTCTTGGTGAAATTTTGACAGGTCAGATAGCTACTCTGATAGTTCATTTAAGCTTTAGTTTATGAAATAAAAGCTTTGCCTACTGAACAGATTAGTTCTGGTTTTGTTTCTTAACTTATCTGATATTTGTGTCTTGCAGAAAGCACCTCTACTGCTACATTACAGACCCAAAATGGACTTGCTGTAGGAGAACTTTATTGTCCTTCTGGACAGAGTTTTTTGCAGAGACGATCATCTGGCACCTTCTTAGTGCATCACTAATCACATGACACAAACCAGCTGAATAATTTTGGAAGACTGTAGTGCTTTCATAGCAGACTGTCCTTCTGACTATTTCTTCTAGGGATGTATTACCTAGATTTCTGGACAGAAAATATTTATACTCTTTTTGTATGGAAGAAAGACGTTGCAACTCAACACGACACTACCAGCACTAAGTTTACAGATACTGAAAACACTTCACAGTTCCATGTAGCTCAGCCTGATTTATCTCTTACAGTTACATAGAAATAAGTTAGAATATTGTGGGGTGATTTTAAAAGGTTGCTTTCAGTTGCATTTAGTTAATTTTCACATTCTGAATCTTTAAAAAACTATATTTTTGCAAAGTGTTACTGTCTTACATAGTATGCCTGATTGCATTGGCTTTATTCAAGTTGTTCTGTAGAGCATTGAACATACCGAATGATATAGTGACTGGTGATAATTTATTATGCTGCATTGAAAACTTCTGAAAATCTGGGAAACCAATAAGTTTGTCATTTTTGCCGAGTCATTGCTCTCCCTCACGTTGTGTTGTACTAAAGTTTTGATAATCCCCTATGCATGTTGTTTTGGTAAGATTAATAGAAATAATTTCAATTGATTTTAATGTGCCCCGATATTCTGCTGTGGCATAAATTGCACCACATAATGACAAATACTCAAAAGTGCTAGATTTGTGAACTTTTAAAAAAACCAAACATTTCTCATGTAGTGTGGCTTGCAGAAATCAGTTTTTAATTTAGAGAGAATTTGCTCTCACTAACTAACTAAACACTGGCTCTTGGGCAACTTTGGGTGATACTGCACAGTTTTCACTTCACTGATTAAAACTTCCTCAGATCATTATGAGCAGCTTTGTATTTCCTTTACCAGTTTTCTTATGAAACCATAGCATTTTCTTTAGTGCAAATCCTAGCTGTCTTGGGGGGTGGGGAGAAGGGGGGTCAGACAAGATTATTTTAGCACCTTCTGGCCTTAACTGATAATTTTGCTTGCATCAGCCCTAATGGATGCAAGGTAATACATATGCATGTATATATGTGTGCATACACATATATAACTATATATGTTATAGAATGCACCCTCAATAGCACTTAGCAGGTTCACTGCACTGTTTGTAAGGCTTTTTGAAATAGTTGGCTTTTTAAAAACAGTAGTTGAAAGTGATTTCTGCAAGCTGTATAAAGTATAGCATATATAGTGTGATTGTGAGAGTATTTGTCTGGCACAGGTGTCAAGTCACTGAAAACAGGCCATGCCATATTATTGTCAGCTGGAAATAGTTAACCTTCTAATTTTTGAAAGAGTTTTCCAGTCAGCTGAAAGTGCTATTTGCTATTCCTATTAAACCCTGTTATTTTTTGATAAATTGTCTTTGGATAAGAAAACAAGTTTGCTTGTAACTGCCCTGCTTCCTCTAGCTGTATTCCTTCCCCTCTTCTGCTAGAAGGTACTTGTTATTCAATAACAGGAAGCTGATACTGCAAGGGGTTTATCCAGTCATTTTAAATCCTCTTCCTCTTCTTGAGTTTTCAAAGCACCACATTCCCCAGCATGTGTCCCATAATTTCCTTCTTTGGAGTCTTCAGTCGTCCTTTCTCAGCTCTGCTGCTGCAGAAGGGGTGCTCCAACTTGTGTTTACCTTCGAAAACAGGGTTCCTTATTTTTAATTATGGTCACAGATGTGAATGGGAAGGAAATCAAAAAGTATGCGAGCAGAGAATGAAAAGGAGCCTACTGAACTGTAGAGATGGAAAGGAGAGCCACACAAAAGCCAAAAAGTGCTGCTGTTCTTGCAGCTGAGGGTATAGTATAGCTGCATTTGAATGTTTGGGTTAGGCAGAACTCCACATCCGGGCTGGGTAGCTAGGTTTGGGTGTGGGAGGTGTGTGTGCATGCATATGAGCAATGGAATCGAATTTGGCTCTGTTTTTGCCTTACTGTTTGTGGACTCAGATATATGTATTTTAGGGTTTTTTTCTGTCTTTAATGTTACTTGAACTGGCAGAAGAGAACAAATGAGATCATGGGTCTACCATTTTTATAATCTTTTCATGAAACAGTGAATGCAGGTGGTGTGGATGTGTACACAGACTGACATACTGGGCCTTTCTGGAGCTGTTTGTTGTTGTTACTGTCCTAGTGTAAATAAGGGACTGGCTCTAGCCAGTGAGACACCAAGAGTATGAACAGGGCTGTAAGTGTCCACCCTCGTGCACACTGAGTATACAGACACTGACTGTACCTGATGTAGACATAAAATTAAAGCTGCCAGACAAGCGTTCCGATTAACCACCTTAATCAGGATATATAAATGCATAAAAACAAATATATATATATGTGTGTAAGATCTGTCTACCTCAGAATGTGTGTACTGCAGAAACTTTTTGCACAACTATGATGCAGTGCTGTTGAAGTACATTGGGATTTTAGTACTTCCCTGTGTACTTGTGCAACTGAGAAATGAGTTACGAACACGCAAATTCAGAACCCTTTCAAATCTATCTCTTGCTGTAACAATCTACAGTACAGAACATATATTTCTAAGTTATAACCATCTTTAGAATCACTTGAATTTGTTATGGTGCTATCAAGATGTTGAAAATTCTGTTTATACCTATATGGAAACATAAATTCAAGCCAGTATTAATACCTACAGCTGGGGTTTTTTGCTTATAATTGTGTGTAACTGCTTTTGCAATGTGTTTAATCTGATAAAACCTCACCAGTAAAAAGAAAACAAAACCAAATACAAAACCACCCAGTTATTTTTCTAAATCACATGTCACAACATCTTTGCTACAGAAACTCTCCCTCAGGAGGGATGTGACTTTGTCTGGACCATATGTTTATTTCCTTTAGCCTTACTAAAAGATTACAGTGCAATTGAATTGAGGTCAGAGGGAGGTCTCCTTTGGGTCAGAGCCTTGTTTCACCTCTGTGAAGCTTAAGAGACACTTAATTTATATCAAGATTATATTGGGCAGGATAATCCTGATACTGTTTAAAGTTGGACTAAAAGTTGGACTGAGCATAGATATCTCTTAGTCCTAGTGAGATCATGTTAGTTTATTTTGGCTTTCATAAAGATGCCATTACTGTGAAGTAGTTTTCACAATTACTTACGCTGGTAAAAAATTGCAGTAAAGAAGTATCTTGTTGCGTTATTGTCAGCAGCAGTGAGACTGATGAATTACCCAGGCTCAAAGTCTCATTAAATATAGTTTCATTAAAAATAGATAATTCAGATAGAATATATAATATTGAATTTAAATAAGATTTGGGGTTTTAAATTTTAACTTTATAAAATTATTTATTCTATTTTAAGCCTTCTGTCTTATTTTACCGTCCAAGTATTTTTGGTTTCAGTGGTCCAGCTTTATTTACGGGCATATAAAATGAAATTGTAAGATGTTTTTACAAGCTTCTTCCTTTTACATTGAGTTTGAGTAGCTTTTATTTGTATGTTTTTGTTTTGTATGGATAAAGAGCATTACTTTATGGTTTTGTGCAATAGGTTTGACACATACATTTATTAGGCATATGTTTAAATTGTAAATGTAGCATCTATTTACCGTTAAATTTAAAAGGAATGTAGATGGCTTTTCTCACTTGTTCAAATGGGGGTTTATTTGGGGCTATTATTTCGGGGGGTGGTTTTTTGATTTGTTCCTTTTTTATTTTAAGAGTGAAGTGTGGGATTTAAATTTGTGTAAGTACAAGAACTATCTGTCAGCAATATTTTAAAATAAATGATCTTGCAAGAAACCTTAATGTGAATTGTGGAAGCAATCAGCAAGACTTGCAGCCTATCTGAAAACGTTTTGTGCCATTGTTATGTCTGGTATATTTGTGTGCCATCAAACCTGGGAATATTTATTTTTATTAGTTGTGCAATAGTATACACAACACTATCACCTCTGGGGATATGGGACCATAAAAAATATCAGACTACAACTATGATGGTGCTATTTTTTTTCCAGTAGGCTATGAGCCTTTGAAAGCTTATCTGGCTCTTATTGTCTTTATAACAACATAGGATATGTTATAACAATCCTAGGAGATTCATTGAGTTTTTTTTTCTACCAGATGATAAGTATAACCACAACTAGCCTATTTTACAGCATTATGCATCTTACCATTGAGCTAAATATAATAGGAAAAAACCAACCAGCCTGTACAGCAGCGAGATGAATCTTAATAAGTACTTAAAATGCATTTTGTACAGCAGGCTTGACTGTACAGAGAAGTTAAGTTTCTGTATTTCCTCAGGTAATCACTTCAGTTTGGATGTTTCACTGGAGATGTTAATGCAACATACAGTTCAGTTAGTCTGCCTAAAGTTGATAACAGGGCAAAAAATTGTCCCATACACTAGAATCTCTATGTAAGATATAATTAACTGTGACTAAGGTCTTGAGATCTGTTGTTGAAGTAAAAAGTTGGAGAGAGAACTACATTAAGGAACATGGAACAGTGCTTCAATCTCTGCTTTAATCAAAACTTGCAATCAGTACAAAAACTTTATAGGAACTTGCATCTTGTGGCAAGTCGACAGGAATGTTTTACTGTGGAGTTATTGTTTGTTTATGTACAAATTAAAGCTCTGGTCCTGCTACTTGATCATCCTTAGGGCTTCTTGGAAATCTGTCAAAGCCACAATGACCTGTCCGGATCCTAGCGGTAGGGTAGGAAATAAATGTCCAGTTCTGTGAACACTTATATTGGTAGCTTTACTAATAACCACAGAAACCAGCGGGATCATTCATGCAAACAGTTAAGTGTGGCTGAAGGAAGGAGCCCTGTTTTCTGAATACTGATGTTCCAGTATTTTTTTTTTTATTTTTATTTGAAACTCAAGGCATTGGTTTAATGGAATCTTTAGTTCAAGTGACTTATCTGGACAAAAGGAGAGTTTGTTTTTTCATTTTGCAACAAGATTATATTAAGCATAATCTTAAGGGACAATAAGCCAGTGCAACCACTAAGCCTTTATCCTCATATGTGGCATAATAAAGATTCTGGAACTGTCACAGTGTAAAACCATATTTTTGGCTTAGCTTCATTTGAAAGCTTACAATTTTTTATGCTTTGTGTTGCTGTGTAATTTTTGTATTATTGGTGGCTAGTTTTGTCTGAATAAGCCTTTTGGGATTATTGCTTAATGTTTTGATTTTATGATAGTGAAGCTTGTATCCAGTGTTTTGCCAATTAATATTATATGCTTGTTAATAAAAGCAGAGAAGCTAACTGAACTACTGTCAGGCTGGAAGTTATTGTCCCATTTTGCCCCAAGAACATAAGGAACTGGCTGTCATAATATAGCACTGAACAAACACAGCGTGACTGAAACAATGGTGGTGTGGCATTGCATTGTCAATAAT